GGGGACAGCGTTTCGTCTCAGGCCGTTCTTCAGTGGCCCCAGGGCCCGAGGGCGGCTCCCGGAGGCCGACAAGTGCGAGAGACCTGCGCTCTGAGTTGTCCGAGGCGTCTGATGTCTGGGATCTGGGCCTTCAAACTCGATCTTCAGACCCCTCCTGGAGTGCGTCCTGACTCGAACGTGAAGGCGAATCCAGCCGTGGCGAAGAGGAGGTCCAGAAACGGCCAAAAACGCTCCAAGAACCTCGCTCCCAGACATCCTCCGAGGCGCTCTGTGAGACCCGCAGCCCGAAACCTCCGGACCCTCTCCCATGGGGGCAGCTCCTCGTCCCAGAAGCCATGTCCGCTGGCTCCGGGGCCCCAACCACGGGCCAGGCCGCAGCCCAAGAGAATATACCCACGAACCACAGGCCACGACCTGGAAGCGAGGCTTGGGCGCCCGAGTTATCCGGGATAACTCGGGTCCGGGGTAACTTGGGTTTGAATTCCCGAGAAAGGAACCCGAGTTAGCCCTGACCCGAATTACCCCTGATGATTCGGGGCTCTGGACGCCCGAATTATCTGGGGTAAGTCGGGTCCGGGGTAACTCGGGTTCGGACTCCCGAAAAACTAACCCGAGTTAGCCCTGACCCGCGTTACCTCTGATAATTCGGGGCTCTGAGAGGCATCCGTGGGCCGCGGGCAGCGGCCGCGCGCCTCCACCGTGGGGTACACCCGGCGGGCGGTCTCCAGCGGCAGCGGTCCCCCGAGGGGCGCGCCGTTCCTGCGCCAGAAGATGCTGCCGTCGTCGGTGAGGCCGCACTCGACCACGTCCCCGGGCCGCAGCGGCGCACGGATCGAGCCACCGTCGTCCTGGAGCAGAGCCCCCCCTCCTCCTCCTCCTCCTCCTCCTCCTCCCTCCTCCTCCTCCTCCTCCTCCTCCTCCTCCTCCTCCTCCTCCCTTCCTCCTCCCTCCTCCTCCTCCCCTCCTCCTCCTCTCCTCCTCCTCCTCCTCCTCCTCCTCCTCCTCCTCTCCTCCTCCTCCTCCTCCTCCCCCTCCCCCCCCCCTCCCCTCCTCCCCTCCTCCTCCTCCTCCTCCTCCTCCTCCTCCTCCTCCTCCTCCTCCTCCTCCTCCTCCTCGTCGAGGATCGGGGGTCGACCCTGCCAGCCGCTCGTTGGAAGCCACGCCTTGAAACATCAGGGGAAGGGTGCCAGACCTCTGGGAAGCCACGCCCTGAAACATCAGGACGCCGCCGCCGTCCTGGAATAAGAATACGGCCGGGAACTGTTGCGCAGCGTGTCGCGGCGGCGGCCCCGGCGACACGCTATGCCCGGCGAGCTGATGGCACGGTGTCGCTCCGCTTCGCGGGGCGAGAGGCCGGGAAGAGCTCGGGACGTTGTCTTGCTTGGGGGGCTGGGACGTGGTTGGCGTGTCGCGCCGAGGCGTGGTGGGCCAGAACCAGAGGCGCGACACGCTCGGCAAGCGCTCTTCGCCTGAAAGGGATCGAGGCTCAAAAGGCTGCTGTGCGACTGCAAAGCTACAGTCGGGGCCTTGATCTAAGGAACCCTGCATCAGGAACGAGGCCCCCTTCTCCCATGAGTGCAACTTCGACTCCCAAAGGGAAACCTCAGGAAAACCCGAGGCAAACTGTAAAACAGTCAAGGAACACCCAGCCCCTCCCCAACGAAAACGGCCCCTTCTTCAGCGCCCCGACTGTAAGGCCCCGAGAGGCCCCCAAGGACGCCCCCCGAGGCCCCGAAAATGCTCTCGCATCTGGCGGGGCCTTGGGGGCGCCGCCGCGGGGCACCCCCGGCTCGCGCTCCGCGCCCCGCGAGAGGTCATCGGCGGGCCGTGCACCCCCGGAGGCTCGGGGAGCGTCCAGGAGGGGAGGAGGAGCTCGCGAGGCTCTGACCGAGGCAGGTGCGCGCAGCATGGGGGGGGGCTACAGTCGTGACGTTGACCTAAGGAACCCAAAATAAGGAGCGAGGCCCCTTTGCTCCAGAAGTTGAACTTCGACTTACCTTCGAAAACCTAAGGGAAGCCTAAGGCAAACTGTGAAGCAATCAAGGAACACGGAGCCCCTCCCCAACGAAAAGGGTTCCTTCTTCAGGGCCCCGACTGTACGGCAGGTTCGTGTCGTGTCGACCAGCGGCGACCCCGCCAGTGGCGTTCGAAGTGGAGCGCCGCGGGCGACCCAGAAGCGTTCGACGTGGAACGAGGTGGGCGTTTCGGGAACGGCCTGTCGTTCAAGGTTGCACGATCCCCGCGGTGTCAGGAATCAACGCCGGGGTCGACACGACACGGACCCTGCCGTAGGAGGCCAGAGCGAAGTAAGAAAAGGGGGCCATGACATCGGGGGACACAGCATGGCCTCGACCATGAGATCCACCCCTGAGCCCACACGGTCATCACCCCCTGCTCTTCGCCGCCCCCGAGAGGTGGTGGTCCCAGACCTCCAGCGACTCCAGCCACCGAAAAGTCTGGAGCCGAAGACCGTCAGAAGACCGCCAGAGACCACCGAAGA